AACATCGATAATAACAATGTGTAGGTCTACTGGTTTTTATAAATAATTCTATTCTACTTATAATAATTATGATGTTGAATTATTATATTTGAGATAGATGCTTGCAATCTGTCATATTAGACGAATTTATTCACTGGTAAAAATCAAACATTTGCCATTATCAGATTATATTCAAAAATATATAGGCTGGAGTAGTTATACTGACATTGTAAACCTTTATTTTCATGCACAACTGTGTGTTCGCTATAAAAGAAAAAACATATCAAATGCTTGCCGTGATCATAACTCTAAAATGCGATATGATCATTTAAATGAAGTGCACACTTTCGGTTTCATTTTGACTGCTAAGTGCTTTTTCATACTTCGCACACAGCTCCCAAACGATCACTCTGTGCCACAAACTGAATATTATTTACAACTGTATTACCTGTAACTCACAACATATGAAGGTTCAGTTCACTAAAGTAGACTTAGTAAGCTGTTATCACAGAGAGGGCATGCGCGCTCTACTTAATGATGGACGCGCGCACGCCCTCTCTGTGATAACAGCGTACGGTCAGCAGCTCACGTCACGTGTGATTTCCCGGCCGCGAAAACATCATTATATGAATACAAAAATGACATTTTTAGGTGAATTATACCTCATAAATACATTATGTGACTCATTCAACATCATTTGGAGGTGTCAATGTCACTGAGCAACGTATGTGAAACAATGAAAAGACTCGTGCTGCTGCCTTTTTTTCTCTCCTGAACTTGAAAATATGATTGGCAGAATCGTAGAAATGCTGGATTAAGATCGTCTAGGGGGTCGAATCGAGATCGCGATCTTTTAACGATTAATTGTGCAGCTCTATTTCAATGTATTCAAAACGGTCAGTCTTTCATAGAGCATGCTAATCAGCACTCACTTAAGTCATTTCAGTTCCTTTTGTACAGGATAAGACTCAACTTAGTCCCACCAATGTCAAGGCATTCCTATTACTAAAATCATTCCTGCAGTCCAACATTACCAAAAATGCTAGGTGCTTTCACCAGTAGTTCCTTATGTGTGAAAGCCCCTCTTGTATGCTGTAGTGCTGTGGCAAATAATCGTTAGAGAAATTGATTCTGCATCAATTGTGAGATTTTGAATATGCAGTGTAAGCTTAGTTCATAACAGCAGATGGCAATGTATGCTTTACAAACAGACATATTCTGCTTGCGTCTAATTCCTTACAAATAACACCGAAAACTAACCATTAATAGAGTTTAGCGTTGTCACGAAACTGGAATTCGATATCAATCAGTACTAAAATGTATAAAACGTCCATCTCTCGCAAACATTTGAGGGCTGATGAGCATGTTCCTAAACAGCGCTGATTTGCCATTGTGTTTACCTACTCAACAAAAATGACTGTGATTGGCCGTGAAGGTCATCGGTTCACCATTTTAAAGCTGCGATTCGTCAGCGGGTCGCTCTTATGTCAGCTTATGGACAAACCAGCTGATCAACATGACTTTAAAACTCTCCAGTCTGCTTGCATATGTGGTTACACTCATGGCCCGTTTCTACTGAGTGATACGGTACTGTACAGTTCGGTACGCTTTTATGGCCGTTTCCACTGTCAAAAGGTACCTAAGAATGAAACATAACGTACCATTTTTTTAGGTACCCTTTGCAAAGGGTACCTAGCACAATTAAGGGGTACCTAAGGGTACCTAACTAAGGGGTTGCAAAAGAGCCAGAAAAATGAAAACAAAGGAACTGCCATTTTAAATCACACAGCCGAAACATTACACCGTAATAATAAATAAATATAATAACAACAAGCCATGGTCGACCCAAGCTCAAACAAACTTTGATGTCGTCTTGATGAACAGCCACAAAGCCAATAAGATGAGCAGAATCTACCCTGAGCCTCAGTTTTTTACAAGCCAATCTAAAGCGCAAGCAGTTTTGTTTTCTCATCGATCTCTTCGCTTGATCACGTGAACACAATGGCAAATCAGTGCTTTTTAAGAACGTGCTCAACGCTGCTCAAATGTTTGCAGGAAATGGACTTTTTTTTTTTTTTTACATTTCAGTCTTGATTGGTATCGAATTCCAGTATTGTGACAACTCTAATACAGTTGAGGTGGTTTAAGCAAATAACAAGAATGTTTATAGCAAACGGCATTCATGCAAATAGCGATACATCTTGAAATTGATCAGAACCAATGCAGAATCAATTTTTCGAACAAGAATTTGCCACAACTCTAGTAAGCACCTCTGCTTTCATTAAGGTGGAAAAACATAATGCCAATAAAACATTATTATTAGTGCATTATTCCACATGGAGAAAACCTTCATCAGTACAAGTAAACAGCAAAGTTTTCTGATAAAAATAAATAAATAAATAAAATAAACTCTGTCTGACACACATCGACATTAAAGTGCAATTGCGAACCAAACCACCCACCACAAACACATGCGCTTAAATACACACGCTGGATGGGGGAATGCCGGGCCACACACATCCAGATGTATCCAGCAAAGTAGGTCTAAACCACAAACCCCAGATTTCATCATAAAGATGCCTAGAATCCACTAAAACGTCCACTATGTCTGGGCACAAAGACGGTAAAATGGGTATTAGCGCAATGCTGTTTGTGTGCGGGTGGCTGTCTGTGGGTAGCTTGTCTTTATGTCTAAGCCATAGCAAACCCAGAGGACACATTAGCAAGGTTGGTGAGCTGGTGTGTTTGGAAAGGGCTGGGCAAAGCAAGAACTACCGTAATGAGAACCTCCGGTCTAAAACCCTCCTGCCTGCTGATTAGAGGCCTTCTACACCCAAACCTAAACACACGATCATGACCACGCAGAGACATACGCAAAAACATGTGTAACGCTGCAAGCGACACAGCATGGTAACACCGTATGGAGCAGCTCTCTTTGTTATGCAGTTCCTGCCCAGTTCACATTTCCTGCTGGACCCTCTGCTGTAACCTGACCTCGACCTAAGTGTGTTTCTCCCATAGACCAGCGCCCACACACAAACACACCTCTCCCCGGCTCATCTTGCCAAATCTCTTTAGCTCTGACTCTTTCCTGTCCTTTAATCCAACACCAATCAGCCTCCAGACACAAATTACGAGAACTAAAATTAAAATCTAAGCCACGCCATGTATAGCCGAGATCTGTCTGTGCCTGTCTGGTGTCTCCCGTGTGTGCCTGCCACGTTCTACCTGGAGCAGTTCCAGCCCTGTGGCAGGAGAATGCTTATGGGAAATGCCGAATCTGAAGCACCATGGGAAGACTTCTGCTAATCTTGTTCACTGACCTAAAGATGGTCTGCAAATTAAGACTTTACATAGTGTTTCTTCAAAAGTGGTATTCAAGGACTAATTAAGGTTAGTCCTTGAGCTAGCAAGATTTTTACTTCAAACTGTAAAAATCACCCTTTGACTTAAAATAATGGTATAGAATTCTGCATGTAAGAAAATTCAGTTTGCTAATTGGTGATTAGAGTCCAGACTTTGAGTTGGGGCATCTCAATTAAAGATTAATGCGAGATGCTAAGTGGTATTGATTATAATTGTAAATCTTGAGTGCATGGTGTGGTTTCAACACAATGCCAGCACCACTGATGAAAAAAAACAGGGACGAAGCTTGTTAGGAAATTCTGCTCTTTCAGCTAAATTCTAAGGCATCTGGTTTGCACATACAATCAACATTTCCCATCAATCTTTTTCAGCATGAATTAAACGCTTCAATTACATACCCAATGCACATCTTTCATTCTTTATGTTTTGCTCTTACCATCCAACAAATGTAAACAAGAAATTGCTTCGACTTCAATTTGATAATAAAAGTACAGGTGTTTGGCTCTCTGTTTCAGACTCGAGTCAGATTCCTTTCATAATGGAGCATTATGACTCAACCAAGAACAAATGAACAACCCTTAACTATGATTGGGGACTGATATAGAGCCAAATGAGAGCACCATCACGCATCGAATTTAATTAAAAAGGTGTGCAAGATGACTGCTTAGATGTTGGTTTCTAGGAACGTTTTTGTTCAAATACAGTTATAGGCAAATCTACGTGTAAAACCAGCAGCCCTCCAAATAGCTGAATTCTGTTTGTACAGAGGATGTTTGAGCTTATTTAACTCTGAAGACAGGAACAGAAGAGACCTAACAATAGGAATGTGGGTACTGGGTGGATTTGCCAATTCTGGCATGGGGAATCAAAGCCATAGCCGTGTGAAGGCTTGCCAATGATAAGGAGGGGTGTGCAAATGCACAGAGGGGGCAAGGACTACCATGCAGAAGAGAATGCCAGCACCTACCAGAAATCCCACACGGGTCATGCCTGGTCTGGCCACATTCCTGAGTCTCAGAGTGCACATCAAACACAACCCCACCAAATTAAAGGTGCACATGTGTGTTATGAGAAAGTCATGGGCATTCCCCTTTCTAAAGCTTGAGCTTCTATGTCCTATTTGTTAAAAATTTCAGATAAAACATTTTATTTGGTAGCCAATTTAAACACTGACTGGCTGGTCACGGCCAGAGAATAGCTCATGTTGAACAGGGTGTCCAATACAGCTCTTGGAGGGTGGACATTCATTAATCTAAAATAGCTTAATTGGTAGGTTAAGGTGCATTTTAGGCTGGAACTCTACAAAAAAACTGCCAATGAGAACCAGAATCTGACCTTGCATTGAGTAGAAGGTTGATGGATAACCAGCAGTTACAGCTGAAGTCTACCATTTTAGTCAAGCTGGTCAGGGCAGTCAAACATCTTTGGGTAAACATAAAACAAGCCCCAAAAAGCAACCTAATCAGCCTACACATTCAGATTGCAATCTTTTTGGGTACTCTTGTTCCTACAATTACATTGCATCAGGAATTCAGCAAAATATATGCTCCCATGGGATGACTAAATTACAGGCTTAGGGAAAAATGTTTCCCAATAATATTGACACTGGTCATCTTAGAGCTTAGCAAGTGCGAGTATTAGCAAGGGTATTGTACCTGTGATACTGTGTCTGCAGGAATTGAAACTCCTCCTTTATGCGGTCTAGGGTCTCAGGGTAAGTGAGTTTCAGAGGTTGTGTTGACCCTGATGCAGCAGCGGCCGCAGCTGCTGCTGCTGCAGCTGAAGCTGAGGATCCTGGTGGAGGTTGCAATGGAGCCTAGAGTAGAGAAAATTAGGAGGGTTAGAATTTGAAATGTTTTTAAACTGAATGGGTGTTGTGTTTAGAGAACACACAAAACCTCCTGGCAAGCAAATTCCCATGAAAGGCTGATTGTTTCTAATGCATAGATCAAGTACCAAGCATTGTTTCAGACTTAAAACCTAAACATTTATTTCAGAATAAGCTTTATTTGCCAAGTGTGCACAAACAAAATATTTACTTACAATGAAACTGCTTAAAACTGTGATATGATACATTCTTCAAAAATCAGATGATTCAGAGAACAGCTTCTAATCACTCAGCATGAACTTGATGAAGAACCCAATGCATAGAGGTCTGTGAACAAGATAGTGTGCTATGCACAAGGCAAACATGAAGGACACTGATGAAAGACAAGCTCCCCAGGATGAGAGAGAAAGCAACGAAAGAATGAGAGAGGATGGGGGTTGGGGTAGTTCCATGACATAGGCCCATTGTAAAGGGATAAAGCATTACAGACAGATGTATGTCTATATCACAGAAGCTGTGGGTATGGTAAAGATGGGGGATTGGGGTGGGGACCACGCTCTGTGCTAGAATTAAGACATTATGTTTAAAATGAAGAATGGATTAGAGGAGAGTGCAAGAGGATCCCATCATGGTGGGACCCCACCAAGCAAACTGAATTCCAGCAACTTCAGCAATTAAGAGCTTGGCCTCAGGGTAATGCAGATAGACAGGCAAACAAAAGCCTATGCACTGTACAGTAGAACCTGTCCATCCATCTATCTGTCTCCAAGCACCTCTGCTGATGGAGGTCCTCAAGCTTGTGACTGCCACCTCGCAGGCGTCCTTGCACTTCTCACGAGAAGCTCTTTTTCTAATGAGCCAAAGAGGGTTAAATCTCCAAAAGGGACCTGATTGATCAAATGTGAAAGTGCATAAAGCCCCATTACTTCAATTAGTATGGAGCATTTGGTTTTGACGGTGGTCACATTTACTGCTAAACACTTGAGAGGCTAACTGTTGGCAAAGTGTCACAGGGTGTTATGAGCATGTGTGACCTGCATTAACGCTAGAAAAGGTTTTAACCCAACCAGGAATTACTGAAAGAATTAAAACAGTACATGGACAGTTTAAGCTTAAAGCTCGTCTTTGAGGGATGGGGACAGATGTAGCAGCAAATATCCAATGGGGGGTGGGCGTGTAGGGTGTCTGCGGGTAAAAGGGGTCACCCTGTGTCGGGCAGGAGGTTTGGAATACTAGGGGGGAGATGTTTGGTGGGGTGGGGGTGGACTAAACTACAGAGGGAGAATGGAGCCTCTCGGCCTGTGGCTCATGGGAGACACAGCGCATTGTTAGAGTCTCTAACGAGCTCCTCTCTCCAGCCCTGCATTTCAATCTGCTGTCCAGATCCCCAGGCTCTCACAGCTCCAGCCTAGCAGGGAGCACACACACACTACAATTACTTCTCACAGGCCAAAGAAAAGAGTCTGGAGAACAAGAGGAGGAAGGCCATTTGACGGGGGGAGGCGGGAAGAAGGGGGAATGACACTTGGCTCTATTCCCTTCTTCCTCTTTATCTCCTCTCTCTCTACCCCACCCAGCCTCTCACTCTGATATTCACCTTTTTTTATTGAATTTTGCGTACAGGTGCAAAGAGACTTCCGGGGAAAAAAAAGAAGAAAAAAAAGAATTGACAAAGAGCGGGCCTTTACTAAAAGACTGAGACCAAAGGGCCAGTCGCATGGAGCTTCTTGGAGACTGAATGTTCATTAATTAGACATTCAGGTTTCCGAAACCACAAAGTGTCACCTTAGAGGCCTTTATTGTGGTTCTTTCCATGTGTCCAGTCTCAATACAGCAGCCATTTTGATTCAGTCCTCTTCTAACACACTTCCCAAACTAAACTGGCTGTAAATTCTGTGCACCTTTCTTTGATGATTGTCACAATAAATGGTTCACTTCACCTCGACAGTTTCACAACTAGGTTTTAACGTGGCATTATCAGTACTGTGGGACACTCTTGTCTTGGCAATGACCGTAAACACAATGACCGTAATCTGTATTATAGCAAAACTTTGAACACTCAAGTTGACTGAACTTTTTACATCTCTCATTATGCGATGCTGACAAGTCACACAAGAAAAAGGGAGTAATGCTTTAAAACTTATGCAAAATCTGTCATTTTGGACTTTAAATATAAACGAATTACTAAGAAGTTCTCACATGACCTTTAGTGAGAAACAGCTCAGGATAAAGTTGGAGTCTGTTGAAAATTATAGCTTGAGCTGTCTAGATACTATGAAAAGCCCGGTATATACATTATAGTCATGTCCAAATACATTTCTTTACCACACTTACAATGACTCTTGGAAAGTGTGAGTGTGCAATGTTTTCATTTCTTTCCCACTAATTACATGTTATGTTGCATCAAACCATAATGATCTCCCAAATCCCCTGCCCACCCACTTATTCAGACACAAAATGAAGAAGACACTGCTAAACACTCCAAAAACCATACACACTGAGAGAACTGCTGCTTCTATGTCCACTGAGCTATCCAAACCACAGCTTCTTTCTTTCTGTCAGAGGTCTGGCTGAGGGACCTACAAGACTCCCACATGGCCTACATCCGAGAATTGCTACATAGTCTGTGAAATGCTGTGGCCAGCCATGATGACCGACATCCCAAAACCTGTCAACACGGTGGCCTAACCTTTGATAAAGCTGTTTCTCTTTTCACACACAAATCACTTGAAAAGATCTGACCACAGCTTTGACGTTTCCATTCCCAGAGAAAAGCTACACAGCCCAGTTTAGAATTTGCCAAAGTTTTTAACTTGTTGCTGAGATCATTGTGTAAATTATAACTGTGCTTTAAAAACAGCTGTATTTTCTCTTTCAAGGGTGCTCAACCCTGTTCCTGGAGATCAACTTTCCTGCAGAGTTCAGCTCCATCCCTGATGAAACACACATGAACCAATTAATTAGGACCTAAACAGCACTTCAGATAGGTGTGTTTGATATGGGTTGCAACAGAAATCTACAGGCAGGTTGGTCTCCAGGAAAAGTATTGAGCACCCCTGTCTTAAAGTGTGTTTTCTTGGTAGTCACCAAGCGAAGCGTTTGAGAATCAGCGAGTCTGTTAATCATCATGCTTTTGTTAAAAAAAAGTTAAGAATTCACACAAACATCTTCACCAAGAGAAATTAGACTGAGGCTAAAAATAACTGAAAGCACTTTCTGTATCTCTGAACCATATGATGTCGATATGAAAAACCTCTTTAGGTGTACACAAAATCAAGCAACCAGGCCATGCTTTCTGCTGCAACATTTGAAGTTCAGGGATTGCATATAAAATCTTTCGACTACAGTGTCAACAACTAGCATCCATTTGCATTTAAAAGAACCACCCAGGGAATCTGACCTAGGCGCGGCCTTGTTTCATTGATTCCATACTCTACGGCAGCATGGAGCTTTAAGGAATGCCCCAGTAATCCCTTACTTAGACGGGGGAGGGGATGTGGGGTGTAGTATGGTGCCAGGCACCTGTTTCATTAACATCACACATCTTTTCTCTACCCTCTCCGCAAGCTCGTTATTCAAATTTCCCCGCTGTCAGGATACATTAGCGGTGCCGCGACGTTGGCTTGTCAGCTGTGGTAATTGCTCTCGGTGCTTCCTTTATGAGGTAACCCGCAGCCTGTTTGTTCTTTCAGTTTCAAGGAATTCCGCACTTTCTTCCAATGACTTTTGCAAACCTTGTCCAGAATGCTTCGATTCATGGCTGAGGGTGCCAAGGCATGTGCCATGGCCGGAACAGGCCATGCCTTGATTTTACTCGGATTCCTCTGAAAACAGTAGGCTGGAGGAAAGAGCAAGAGTGTCAGGAAGGATGTTGGTGCTCCACTGTTTATTGATATCTTAGCTGGAGCGGATCCCTCCAGAAGCCAGAATTAGGACCAATCAGCAGTAGGAACTGCCCACTATTTCAAACTGGCAATTAAGATGTTCCATTTGGTAGTTCAGTTACACACAATTTAATAATAAAGAAAGTAGTAATGCAGCCCAGCAAACAATTTTGTGTTTAATAGACATCTAAATGTAAACAGACATCCAAGAATAGCCCAAAACTAGACTAGACTAGTCAAATAGACGTACTTTATGCGTGTAGTCATTCATTTTTTTTATTTGACGACTAGTCTAGTTTTAACCTATTCTTAGACGTCTATTAGATTTTCACTGACAGTTCAATTTCAGCCTTGTTTTAGCCAAGACGACCAGTATCAGATGCTAATAATCCAGGCTGTATTCTGCAATAAAAGTGCAAACATTCTGTTTCTCTTTTACCCGAATACAAAAGTCCTTATGTTTTTAGATATGACTCTCCCTATCAGCCTTAAGTTATATGGTGGACAGCAACCACTTACTCTTCTTTTCAATAATAAAAAGACTTTTAAATACTGCCGGACAGATTAATTAGCATGAAATTTGCCACCTTGTTAAAGATTTCTGCCTGCATCAAACAAACGGTTTCGAATTATACTGATTCTTTAAACAAGGTGACAATTTTCTGAAATATTAACCTTGTTTACTTGTTGAGGAATGTGTGGGTGGATTATGTCTGCTTCAACATCTTTATTTAATGCATAAGATCTTTTTCCAATTTCATTTAGACATATTTGCTTTTAATCAAATTAATTAAACGCCACTCTTCAGATTTTATTCCGTATATGGATACTAACAGATAAAGATATGATCTGGACCGAAGAAGATCACTTATTAAAAATGTCAAAACATGGCTGAATCACATGCCAACCACCTCTTCATGTCCCAGGTTGTTTAAGGTGAGTGGAAAGAGGTCGTATTCAGAAGTAGCGGAGTGCCCTGGAAAAACAGGTTGGACCAATCGCTCATTCTAAGAAGAAATAAGAAAAGAACCAAGCAGCCTATAGACACCACAGAGCAACAACTAAGAGGGGTGGAAATCCTAAATACTTCACCTATGTAGTGTGCATCTCCTTCAGATCACGAAATTGCACACCCCAGTGGAATCTAATTTCCATCCCTTAGGAAATGAATGTCAAAGCATTCTTGGGGAAGGTTAGGGGTGCTGGGGGAGGGGTGCACGGTGACTGTAGGGAAATCTCAGGAAGGATTTTAACACTTAGTTTGATTCAATCAGTCAGGCGTGTTCAATGATAAATGAATAATTTATTAAATAGTGGTCAACAAATATGTTTTTTTAACAGTCAATAACGTCAATATGATAACTAGAGTCTATGGTTGCCGAAATAACACCACATAAACATGATATAAACATTGAACACAGAAACCAGGCTAACACTTATTTACCATACACTATATATTCTGACAGAACTTTTGAGACATGAGAGATCTAATGCACCTATTAATAAGCCAAGCATCTTGATTATTCATACTTGTGAAGTTTCAAGCTTCTTTGGGAGATGTTACATGCCATAAGTTAAAAAAATATATATGTAAAAATAACAAATCAATACGAGCATTGTGGAGGTTCATGTAGTACTACAATCTGATATTTCAAATGAAATGTATGAAAAGCTCTACTAAAACTTGTAGTAGCTACAATTCATCACGAAGTACAACAGTACTAAGATCTGCCTACAATATGACGTGGTACAACAATAACATAATGGAAAAGTGGTATCCAACACAACAATTCAATTCATTTAATGCATTGTTTACCTTGAATTTTTGGGACAGAAATCAGGCTAATTCAAAAGCACATTTTACGGTCTCTCGCTTATATCCAATCTTAATTGCTCAAATTGCAATCCACGTGAACGTTTAGCCAAAATGATGAGACAAAGGATACAAACACACTTTGTTTTATCAATGATATGCACTAAAGCGCATTGCGCACCAAGCAGACGGTCATTTTACTGAGTAGTGAGGCAACTTACCGGAGGTCGATTCTGGGGAAACATGGTGAATAGCGTGGTTTGTTGCGGTTTGAGAATCGTCTGTTTCGATGCTGTGTTAAATGATGTTTCGAGAGACTTTGCGCCTTTCTCCAGGTCTCAGAAGAACATTTGGCCCTGTTTCGGCGGCGCCAGGCTCGGCTCGCGCATTCCTCGCTCAAGACTCCCTTTGTTCTGCTTTATCGCGCGATACAAGATGCGCCCAGTCCGGTATCGAGTCCCTCAATACGATGCACCTCGAAATATCAGAATGCACGCGCTCGGCCTTCAGAGCTCCCCCGCCCTTGATGTGCTTTACTAATGAAAATGATAAAGAAACCAAGTGGATGGCCAGCTATCGTGCTCCCAAGACGCGACACTCAACGCAGCCGCAGCTTCTTTTGTCTGCTTGTCTCTCTCTCCCTTTCTCTCTCTCTCTCTCTCCTCATCCGCTCCTTCCTTTCGGATCCTCAGCTGTTTTTCAATGGGACATGCGAGTTGTTTTCTTCAAGAGAAACGCATGCCCCCCCGTGCAAAAAAAAAAAAAAAGAGAGAGAGAGAGAGAGAGGGCTTGGCTTGTGGTAACAAGAAGCAAAGGGTTAAATTCTCAAGTTACACTCATTTTAGGCTGCGGTGGAAGTAGGAACCCCTAAAATGCATGGATTGATTTGTTTATGTTGCCCTATGTGGGGCAACAGTAAACACGTGATTAGGAGAAATGATAGAAAATATGGTATAAGAATTGTTTGCATACATTTCATGTTAATATTCTGATATGACGACGGTAAAACTGCCAAGTACATATGCAAAGTATCAAGTAAAGCTGTATGACTAAAATACACAAAATATTCAAGAGAAATATTGGACATATTCAAAAATTCTGTGTTTGAATTATGAAAATGACTTATTTAGCTTTCACATACATGTTTTTGTCACATCACAACAAAATGGCTACCTGCATCTTGTTAAACACCAAACTTGATATGGCAGATAAAGCATTTCAAATATTCATATGAGTGTTTTTAAACGCTCTGTTTTGAGGAAAATGTTACAGTTTGGGCTTCAGAATTTAACATTTATATTTTAAGCCTTTACAAACACAATTTAGACATTAAAACATCTTTAAACGTCTGAGAATATCAATGCATGTTATCCACATTTGTTTACAAGTTGCCTGTTGTAAGTTGGTAGGCCCACAAAATTTCACAAACACAAACGTCAATGACGTCATATGCAAAACAAAATGCTAACAAACACATTAGTAACGGAATGGAAGGAAATTCATTGTAAAATACTACACACAATTTACCCAGTAATTAGGTTATTATCAAAGTACATTGAAATGGAGGATATCTGTGTTTACTGCAATGCAGATAAAGAGAGCCTTTGTCATTTATTTTAGAATGCAACATTGTAAGCAATTTCTGGAAGGATCTAGCCAAAATATTATCAACATGACAAAACTTAAAAATTTAATTTTATCTTAATTATATTATTTTTATTATGAAAACAAATCCAACCAAAGTCTTCCATATATTGTTAATTTCTTTATTTAATTGGGAAAAAATTACATACACAAACAGAAATTTGCTAAGTCATTTCCCACATAACGTTTTTATTTTGTATCGAGTTTAACTTTTTTATTTCTACTGTGAAATTGTTTTTAAAAAGCAAAAATCTGAGATATGTATCACTTATTACAACACATTTTTGATTCCTCTGTTAATTTTTTAAATCATTGGATGAAGAAATGCTAAACTTTTTTTGTGGAGTTATTTATATTTGTTTATTTTTTTTTACCTTTGTTATATTAGTTTTTATGTTTCACCTTTTATGTTGTGGTGTATGTTTTTTCCTGATGATTTATGCAAAAAAAAGGCTTTTAGGTAATAAATTATAGGTGATGATCACCTTAAACAAGACTACTAAAAACTCCTGAGCACAATATATAAACGCCGTATTTTGTGATGTGGTTTAAATATAGCAGCTCGTCTCTGTCGGCTATTCACACGTTCCTCTCACGTTCTCTAATTTTATGCACAGGACTTCGATTGAAAAATAAGGGTGCAGCTAACTGTACAATGATTGAATGAAATCTCCACGTGGGGTTTGACCCAGCCACAATCAACACTGGCTGAGAGATCCAATCGGAGCCAAGAACGCCCCACGTGGGGCTTGCTGACCGAACGCTGATTGGTGCGCGTCACGATTATAGAACCCCTAACGTCAGTCATGCGCTCAGAGCGCCCAAGAAAATCATTTAACCCTTTCGGTGCGCGCGGTGGACACATTTGAATTCACATTTCAATTCCTTTTGTGATGTAAAGCAGTTTTTTTTACTCTCCTCCTTTTTTATTACTTTAAATCGCTTTGCATTGTTTTACAGCGCCCACAATGAAATCCCACGGCAAGTGGTTTAAAACCAAGACCCATTTCCTATGTAAATCACTTTTTGTTATGATTTTTCCATCTGTCTTGATTCCTAAGATAGTAAGTCCGACATTAATTTTTTGATCTTTGATCTGAAAGACACATGAAACATTGCTTCGCTATAAAGATAACATGCTTCAGGGGGCAATAAGATCCAGCGAGTGACCTAAATCAAATCTCTGGTGTGTTTTGCTCTGGGTCAGGGACTACAGCTTAATATGCTCACAAAGGCATTATCTTATCGGAAGCTGCATGGAATATCTTGGATACAGTGTTAGGATTGGCGTTTTTGATGAACGTATTGATGCTTGTGATGAACTTATGCTCTAAAAAAATTATAGGGTGAAAAAAAACATTTGAGAAAAACTGATAAGACACAAATCTAAATGAAATTACTTTCATTGAATAAAATAGAAGACAAAAATAATAATTATATATATATATATATATATATATATATATATATATATATATATATATATATATATATATATATATATATATATAAAATGCATTTTTCATTGTTTTAGTTAAAAAGTTTTTGGGGAAAAAAGTGTAATTTACCGAATTAATCGATTTTTACTTTGTACAAAGATGATTTTCAAGACAGATTTATTCAAACATACATTAAGGCCGTACTCACATTAGGTACAGTTGACTCGAACCAGGCCAAAGCCCGCTTGTCCCCCCTCCCATCTCCCCGACGGCCCGCGCTCACACCACAAACGGGCTTCGGCACGCTTACGTCATCACTGCTGCGCTGTTCAGTGAGAAGCGCTCTCTCACTCAGCAGCACAGTGGAGATTTCTCTAGTTATATTGTTTCAGTCGTTTGATATGCCGTCAAATATTTCGCCAAACAGCCCTTAGGGATGCGGGGACACGCAGTCAGATATTTCGCTGAACAGATTTGCCACTTTTGGCGCTCATAAACAATCATAAATCTCTCGTGCTGCAGGAATGAGGAGGTCTGCTGAAGGAGCGCAGCTGTCGTGCAGTGAGGGGTTTGCGTCTTTAATAAACTACGGCAGTTTGCGATCACTGAACAGTAAGAATGATTAATAAATCCATATGAAACAGTCCCTTAAAAGTCACGTCTCGCTTTCAGTTTCGGGCTTTGGCGCGTTTTGCACTCCAAGTGAACCGGGCTCAGGCACACCTCTTCCAACCGGGCCAGGGCCACCCAAGTGAACCGTGCTTAAGCCCGATTCAGCGCACTCACAGTTATCAAACGATCCGAGAAATGGGCCTGGGCACGGTACGGATGGCATAGTGTGAGTAGGCCCTAAATGATGAATACAATGTATTCATTCATTTTCTTTACTAACTAACAGTACACATTAGGTAGGTTTCCTGAGGTAAATGCAACATCTTACAAGCAGTTTATTCATGGTCGAAACACTTATTGATTTCATTAAGTCCTTTTATATCCTTAAGCAAACCTTCTGCTGTTCATTACAGATGCACCAAAATGATTTTTCCTTTTTATTGGCTGATATGATACCAATTTCAACTAAAAAAGTCTGCCAATTCTGATACAGATACCAATGTTTTGGTCAAATGCATAGAATAATCGCAAGTTTGTTTTTTTCCTATTAAATTTGACTAAATATGAATTCAATACATTTAATAGTCCATTTCAGGAGAGACACAAGTGTAGATAAATAAAATATACTATATGAAAATCTTCAAAGGTGATTTTTGCTCTTCAATATTTCTTTAAATAGCATTAACTTTTATTTGACATGAAATATGTATTTAAAAAAACTGAACAAATAAAAAGCCAGAGCTGTTGCTATATGTAAACTCAAAAATATAGTGTCTACTAACTAAAAAGTAAACATCTGTTAACTTCAGCCAAAAATAAACTATTCTGCTAGCCAAAACCTAAGCCAGTCTGTTAACTTAAGCCAAAAACTAAACTAATCTATTTCTATTTTATAATTAGCAAACTAGTTGTCTGGTAAGTTTAGCCAAAAACTAGTCCGCTAACTTTAGCCCGACTTAGCAGACTAGTTTTTGTGTGTAATTAGCAAACTAGTTGTCTAGTAAGTTTAGCCAAAAACTAGTTTACTAACTTTAGACAAAACCTAAGTTGATCTGCTAACTTTAGCAAAAAACTAAACTAGTCTGCAAACTTTAGCCAAAACCTAAACTATTCTGCTAACTTAAGTCAATAACTAAATTAGTCTGCTAGCTTTAGCCACAAATTAAGCTAGTGTGCTAAATTAAGCCAAAAACTAAACTATTATACTACCTTTTGCCAGAAAAAAACTAAGCTAGTCTGCTAACTTTAGGCAAAAAACTAAGCTAGTCTGTTAACTTAAGCCAAAAACTAAACCAGTCTGCTAGCTTTAGCCTAAAACTAAGCTAGCCTGCTAACTTTAGCCAAAACAAATTATTCTGCTAACTTAAGACAATAACTAAACTAGTCTGCTAACTTTAGCCACAAACTAATCTAGTCTGCTAACGTAAGCCAGAATTAACGAAACTAGTCTGTTAACTTAAGCCAAAAACTAAATTAGTCTGCTAGTTTCAGCCGTAGGCTGTTTCTCAAATCCAAGAACGCTGAGAACAGACTTGCGCTCTTGTGAAGACCGGTCTTGCCAAATTACCTCGGAAAAACAAACTCAGGAGACCGCAAGAACAGAATACGACCTGTGAGAAATGAGTTTCTGCGTTCCTCACTGGTTCTTCCTAATGGTCACATGATGACCTTCACGCATTTTTAACAGATAATTATTTCAACAGTGCAGCATTCATACAATGATTTATTGTTTTACCCTTTTCCCAATATGCATAAAGACCTTACA